GGCTCGTTCTGCTTGTGCTTCAATTGGGACCGTTCTATACCAGGGTCGTATAGTGCCAGTGCCCATCGTAAGTTATTGACTGATGCTTGAGAAGCAGCCGTAAAAAGTGGCCTCACAAGGGAGGGCTCTAGGAAGTAGGGGTGTGCAAGGGGGATATTGAGGTGGGGGTGGATGGTGTAGTCCTGTGATACCCACAGGGCCTTGGGAGAAAAAAGGAAGGCTCTTGTCCTTTTAGAAAAACAAGGAACTTCCTTTTATGAAGTTTACTCCCAAGTCGCAAGGCCATCTGGCCAATCCAACTGCAGTACCTTCACCCCTCTCCCATCTCTCTCCTCAATGTTAGTGACTCACAAGCTGAACTCTCCCAGCCATAATCGCTCACAATAAGCAGCCTTCAATGTCGATGGATGAGTAGAGCAATGCCACCACTATTGAACTCCACAAGGGCAACACCAATTTAAATAATCAAGATGGCCCCTCCAACGGCCCCAACTCTGCTGAATGAGGCCTCTCTCAGGCCATCATGTGCTGCATGAATGAGTCTTCAATTGCATGGCAGCTTTGGCTGCTGCTGCCCCATATCTTATGAGGCAAGAATGACTCTCTTTCTCCCAGAACCCAAGCATTGTAGGACAAACAACCCCACAAAACTACCATCTTCTCCCGAACGTAACGTGTGGTAAGAAAAAAGGAAAGACAGAAAAAGGTAAAGAGTATGGCATTCAAGCTGTATTTAGGTCTTTTTTTTTTTGGTGGTGGTGGTGGTGGTGTGTGTGTGGGGGGGAGGACCAGAAATAGCTATAATGGTTCTTCCTTATGTTCAAGGGAAGACAACGGGGAAATGACGCCCAAACTGAAAGGGGTCAGTACAAGTAGCAGAGGTCTCGGCTCCTGCTGCAGCCTGACTTTTTTTTTTTTTTTTTTTTCATGCTGCATCTTCTCTATCCCGGAGGTCGTGAGAGGACCACCTGGATTGAGGGTTGCAGTGGGTCCTTTCTATAGGTGGGGGAGCTGCAGCTACTGAAAAACGGGTCCAGCGTCCTTATTGATACAACGGGGGCCATTACTTAGCTTTGACTCTTTTTTTACCTTTTTTTATAAAGGGCGACGACCTGGAGGTATCGTCATTCAGGTGATATCATCATTGAGGTGACGGGCCCCAGGCAATTCAAAAATAATTGGTCTTACTCATATCATGTTGTGACGAACCACTTTCTGAAATCGCGCGACTTTCTGCGCGAAGCTACTTGGGGGAATGTGACGGGTTGAAGGGGTGAGCTGGGGAAAGATGGGTCGGGCGGGCTAGTTGCATAGATGCCCTCGTTTCTTTTTGTTTTCTGTTGGAAGTTGTCAGATCGGTATCGGGAAAATCCCGTGCCAACGGTTGAGTAGCGCGCCTTAGCAAGCGCGAGAAATAACTGTATCATAGCTTCTTTCTTGTTCTGTTGTGAGCGCTGGGGATTTTTTGCGCGATCATCGCGCGGGAATATCGTTTTTAAATTTTCAATTGATGAGCTCGCAGAATTGTTTTTCTCTTTTTCGGAATTTCCTTTTTGCAATTCGGACTTAGGATAAGAATTTAGGTACTCTGAATTTTGTTGCGCCACGCTTGCGCGCATCTTGCTGCGCTGGGAACTGGGCTCTGACTGGATCACGCCCTTAATCTTGTGTAACTGTCGTTTTTGGCGGGCGCGATTGCAACTGTATCTTTCTTCTTTCTTGGGTTCCCTCGTGTTTAACCCCCTTCTCCTTCATCCTCACCGCGCATACTCTGTTCTAATTGGTCGGAGCGCCTGCATGATCGGATCGATGAGTTGAGTGTGGCGACGACCCCCACGCCACGGCCTGACCATGCAGATGTAGGCACTTCCTCTTTTCTCCTCTTGTCCACCTGGGCTTAATCCCGTACCTTTCGCGCAGGCATGCATGCTATAAATTCCGCAAGCACGATTAGTTGTTTCTCTAAGAATTTCGAGGTTAGCGCGATCAGTGAGGGTCGGCTAACGAGCAAGTTTGCAAGGTGAGTGAGTGTGAGAGTTGGGCGATCCGACGAGCTGGTGTCGAGTGTGCAGGGTTGACGTGCGAGGCCACGATGGACTGTGGCGCACGGGCGAACCTGGCTTGCATGCTCGAACCAAGCGGGGTGACAACTCTGTGTTGATGCGCGGCGACGGACTGCCCGCATCGGGAGCATGGAGAGAGAGAGAGAAAGAGAGAAAGAACAGTTGTGTGGGTGTGTGATAAGGTTCTTTTCGTTGTTTCTTTCTTTTCCTCTGTTTCTCTGTATAATTTTGAATCCGAATATGGTCGACTTTATCACGACCTTCTTTTTGAACTTCTTTTGTAAATCGTCTCGGATTTTCCTTGTCGGTTGTATTTTGTATGTATGCATGGAATGAATGTGAGTCCCCTTTACTAGCGATCCTTTTGGATTTTCAACGTTGTTTTCCGATGTCCATTTCGGCTCTGTCTACTATTCACTTGCGCGAGCTATACGCTTGATTATGGATGGTTTGGTTTAGTCGTTAACTTCCGATCAACAC